GGTCTTACATATCTCTTCAAAGTCTGGTTTAAAAGAATCTACAATCTTTAAAAGCCTGGCTTTGCTAACCAAGAATTGATATGGTGAACATTAAACCCTAGCTGTTTGCCCAATTCAGTCTCATTCATCATAGTTGGTTTAAGTCTTAGGACTTACTCCAAAATAGCCTCTAAACTTACTGGCTGCTCCATAAATGCATGAAAAACACAGCTGTCTACCACCTCCAGCAACATATGCTTTGCCTTTGCAATTCCATTATCGCTCCAGTCTAAGGGAAATTGAAAACCTTTTTGAGTATTATTCTACCATTTTACATGTCCTATTACCTTACTTAACATTTTCTGATCTGCTTTTCTCCCATCCTCTAGGTCAGTGCTATTTTCTTATGATATTTTTGTCTTCTAAAATTATTTTACAAAATCATAGTAAATGTACTTAACATTGGTTATTTTGATATATTTTTCTCTGCCTTGTTTATATGTGTAATTGTTGAAGTTCTTGCCGTCTGATTTCTTTTTTAGGAGATATACTGAGTATTTTTGCCAGATTTTGTCATTTTTTATCATTTAATGCATGAAGTAGCCGTTCTTTATATTATTAATTTCTATACATTTTTATGCATCTATTTGTTAATCCACTCATTTAAATAATGAAAAAATACCTACCTTGTATCAGACTGCCAAGCACTTTATGCACATCAATAATTTCATGAGGTTGGTTCTATTATCCTCATTGTATTGATTTAAAAACTGAGGCTCATAGAAGTTAGATAATTTATCTAAACTTACACAGGAAAATACTAAAAGCAGAACTGCAAACAATAATCTTCATTTTTAAGCCTGAGTTTTAACTTTCATACTTTCTAGATTTATCATCAGTTGATTGCTATTTTGAGACCTGAGGTTAGCTTGTAGGACAGAAAAATAAATTTTAAAAAAGATACTGCCTTCACGAAACTTGCAATATACAGTAATGTAGGGAAAAATCTACATACACCAAAAACTTTAATGCCTCATATAAATAGAATACCCGCCTGGGAAAGATAAAGCCCTTCCAACATTAAGAAGCTGAAAAGATACTTAATAATTCAAAATGGTGGTTCTTGCTGTTCCCCTCAGCTGAACTACACTTCCCTTGCTCTTCTAAATTCTTAGCAAACTTCAAAGCTTTCCTGGTTACCCTGCCCTACAATGCGATCTTATTTTGCTAAATTCTGATATAATTCCCTGTAATTCAGTCATATTAATATCACTGATTTTAGTATTTATCTTGTGTATTATATGGTTTGTCTCTTTAACTTGATCATAATCTCCATGAAGTCACTCCCTGAATAACCTAGCTATCTGTATATTCAAAATAAAGGGCATTTGTAATTGCAATTATAAATACGTGGTTCATTTTGGTAGAGCTTCTCAACTTGTTCAGGTGATGAAAAAGCATTAAGGTCATCATGTTATAAAAGGAGACATCGATATATCTGATTTGATGTAACTAGATCTATTATCTTACCATATATTAGTTACTGTCCCAGAATTTATATACTGTAGATAAGTAATAAAAAACAAAAATTGAAGGGGAAAAAACTTTTAAGAGAAAATATATAAAAAATATATTAATACATGTTATTGACTTTTTTTCTGTTGCATTTTGCCTTGCTTTGTTTATTAATAAAGTGGAGAAACATAAAAGCTTTTTAAAATATTGGTGATACAGTTGCTTATATTACTCAGCTTGCAAGTCCTTAGAGGTCTATGAAGCCACAACTTGGAAACCTCTGCCACAGTGGCAAAATGTCGTATTTATTCTTTACATCAACTTGTAAGGTAGCTAATGGCTACAGATGTTATTAATTACAAAAGAATTCAGACTTGCTCAGTTACCTGGCTAGGTGCATGGTCACAAACACAAATGTAATCAGTTCCAGAGACGATGCTTTGAAGGCTCAGCACTTCTTGTTTTAACCATTCAGATATTTACTCCCATATTCTTATTTTCTTAGAATTGTAAAGAAGCATATAGATAGATTTAAGTGGTAAACAGTTCTAATGCTGTCGCTCTCTCCCTAGACATTTTTTACCTTTAATAACAATAGAACGGGGATAAGAAGGCACCAACATTTATTTAGATCCAGTTATGTGCCAGGTACTCTGCATAATTTAATTGACATTTATTCATTCCTTAACAAATATTTCTCAACAGCTGGCACATTACAAAAATGTGTACTCTTGTGATAAGCAAAAATAGGCATGCTTCTTATATTCATGAAAAGTACATACTCCAGTCTTAGACACTAACCAAATTCATAATTGTAAACAATGCTATGAAGAAATAACATGTAATTTTATCCTCAACAATCCTTTAAGGAAGCACAGTGTCCCCTATTCATAAATTAGGAGGTTAAAGAACTTGTCAAAATCTGTAAGGCTAGTAAAGGTCAGCATGGCTGCCAGGTATGGCTCAGCAGGTGTTGCCTGAACCTCTTCTGAGGACCAGGGGCATTATTCGCATCTACTACAATGCAGCTGAGGCTTCTAGAGTTTTGAAGTGTATCACCTGCACAACCACACATGTGGTCTTAAGTTAGAGAGGATCAACTCTCAGTTTGTCCACTTGTCCCTAATTATTGTAGTTTCTCAGGGTAATTAAATTTGAAATATGTTAGTTTATTCATCAAACCCACTGTATGTGAAAGGTCAAATATGTGGGACAGCACCTAAACAATACCCAACTGAATGGAATACAATTCTCATTCAATTAATAAAAGGTTGTTTGAGTGCCTGGTGTATGTAAAAAAACACAGTATGAAAGTTGTTTCCTGGCCTCACAGTTGCCAGTAGAGCAGGAAAATAGATGAAATTGAAGGACGATGTTAACTTCTCTTCCCGGGTCCACAAGGGGCATGGTTTCAAAGGCAAGAACTTCCAATGGCCATACCTCCACTCACGTCCCCATCCAGGAACTAGAGTTCTTTGTCTAACTTTTGTGCACTTGGGAAAGATAGACTGCCCAGGTGAGCTTCCTTTGATTAGAAAGCCCGCCAAAAGCCTTGGAAGGAAGAGCTTTATTGCAAGCCAGGCAGCCAATCACATATCAAAGTCAAAGATCAGTCACTCCAGTGGAAGTTTAAGGGAACTCCTCTCATGGGACAAGAACTTGAATGAGGCCAGAGTAACTCCAAGATTAAAAGTCCCCCTGCCCCTTACCTGTGTGGACTTCATCTCTGGATACTCTCCCATAACAGCGTGGAAGCTTGCTCGCTGGCTCTCTCTCACACTCTATTTTTCTTTCTTTCTTTCTTTCTTTCTCTCTGTCTCTCTCTCTCTTCTCTCTCTCTCTCTTTCTCATAAATCGCTTTTCTGCAAAGCTCTTTGGTCCAATATTTACTTGAACAATATCACCACCAGGGTTTCCTACCCATTCTTGGGTGAGTGAGAACCCAAGGACCTGGAAAAAACACATCTGATTGGGGAACAGTGAGTGAGGACCTTTTGGGACGCCCCTGCAACCTGCTGCTGTCCCCTGGGTTACAAAATGAGATTAACCATCATGCCACAGTGCACTTAGAAGGCATTTCAATGCCAGTGAAGAGTTCGTTTTTGCTTCTCCTAGCAGCCATATCAGGAAGGTAGCTAGAATGCTTGGATGAAAAAATTTAAATGATCTACCCTGGGCAATGGTGAATTCCTGCCAATTTGAAGATATAGGAATATCATGTGCATGACAACATTCAGAATGGTTACTCCAGCAGTATGAAAATCCATGAACGAAACTCTTTAAGACTCAGGGAATCTAATTAGAAACTTTTCATAAAAGATTGACATAAAGTGACAAGTTCTTGGATTATGGTTGTGATTTTTTTTTTTTAATTGGAAAAGCATGTTCCATTTAGAAGAAACATTGAAGTCTCCTTTCCTCGTGGTTGGCTGTAGTTGCAGCTTTGTGTAGAGAGTAACACTTAGTAAATCTTTACTTTTTTCTGTACTATAAATGAACATTCATACATAGCTTGTTTTTAGCCCTTTTTAATTAGAGTCAGAATAGGAGAATGGGTATCTCAGGCTGTTAGTAATTTGATATAGAACTTTTCACCTCTGGGTCAGTGGTAAATGAAACACATTTACATATTTTTAAGTGGATTTATTGCTCTTGAAGGGAGCCCAGTTGTAATCCTTGACACCAGAACACTCATTTGCCAGAAAGCCCACAGGCGTTGAAAACATTGATCGGGAAGTAACACAGAGAAGGGGTTCAATTTCAACAGCTTTCCACTGTTTGGCTTCCCTTACAAGATCTTCTTAAATTGTTTTAATTAATCCTAGTTATGATTCTATTCTTAAAGGCTGATACCTATCTGATGACAAATTGCATATGGATCAATAAGATGGGCTTATTTCACTTTAGAGTATGAGCTATCCAGTTGCTTAAAAATAATTATCCATATCTGAAAAAGCAAGGAATTTACTACAGTATTCACTTTATACTAGGGGGAAAAAGGAATGATTGATAAAAATTGTGTTACAAATTTCAGTAATAGGACTATGGCTTTTACAGTTAGAAAATAATAGCACTGATTACATCGATCTTAGCATCAAGGAATTAGACATTTTCTGGATGTGCGTGCCCATTTAACACCCCTAGAAATGACCAGAATGGATTCAACCCTGTCCAACTCCTCAGCTTCCAAGGCAACACATCCATGGCAACAAGTAAGCATCATTACAGTTTCTCAATTGTGGAAAAAAAAAAAGAAAGAAAACAATTTCTTAACTCCCTTTAACCTAAGCACATTTTAGGCAACGTAAAAATACAAGAAAAAAATTTCAGTTTTATCATCATTGATTATATATATATACTCTGTCAGATATATTACTAGAAGATGGGGATATAATAATTAGCAAAACAAATTACCTGTGTCTTAGTTTGAAGTACTCTGCATAAACTGGAAAAAGAGCTTGCATGCAGACCATTTATTATGAATAGGAACCCAAGGGACAGGAATGAGAGAATGAAATACAGGAGAGAATGCCACACCAAACATTAATAGATCGGCCACCACTATAGGCAAATGGTGTTCCATCCTGCCAGACTCTCTAAGGAAGCTTATGAAACATATCTCAGAATTATTAACCTGGAAGATAAAAGGGAGATGATTTTTTCCATGGGCGCCGGCTCTCCAATTGTCAAGTGTAACCTAATGGACGTGAACTTCCCCACACTAAGTTGTGTGATTGGCACAGACATGCCATGTAGCAGCATCAGGGAGGCCTTGGGGAGCCTGAAAAGGACCCTGTCAGGTTCACCTGTGTGAGCTTGGCCAGCCCCTATGCTGGACTGTATGCTGCAGCCGACTAGTGGAACAGATAGGGCTGAGAAGACGCAAAAGGGAGAGGCCTGTGGTACACTCTGCCCTTAGGGTACTTAATGCATCCCAAAAAGATATACTTTCTCTCAAAGAAAAAGTTGACATGCATCCTTTTAGAATTATTATATAAAGTAGATAGGTATAGATTAAATATATGAACTTTGGAGTCAGATAAATTGTGGTTTGAACATTGTTGGTAATTATCACTCTTTGTGCAGCCAAGATCAACTCATTTAGCATTTTCTCATCAGTAAAAGGGAGGGTGGGGTATGGTAAAATCATGTCTCTTCTATGCACCAATTGTGAATATTAAATGAGATTATGTATAGTACTTAGTGCATTGTTGTTCTTAGGTGTCATTAAATGAGATTATGTATAGCACTTAGTGCATTGTTGTGCATAGGTGTCATACCAAAACAAAATTTTAGAGGCAAAGATTGGCAATCTTCCTATTTTCTTACTCCTATCCATATTTATGCATCAAATGATGCCATAAAGCATAACACATTTTTAATGATTTAAGGATTCCTAAGATAGAAATAAGGCTTCTCGTAGTGCTGAGAACTGAAAAAAGGAAAGCTATATTTTGTCTCAAGTTTATCAGAGTTCAAAATAGAAATTGTTTTAAGCTTCATTTCAATTCATAAAGTTCCCCTAAATTCTATTTTCTGAGAAGCCAGCAGATGATTTGGTTTCCTAATTGTTAAACTAACTTTTTAAAATTTAACAGAAAAAAATGAGTGTTTGGCTAAGCTGTTTCTTGAAACATCAGTGACCTGAATGCACAGTCTTTACAAACTAAGAATTCCCTGAAGCTTGATAGGAACATTGAGATCTTAGCCTACACAACAGAACAGCAGGATCAGGCAAGTCACTGTGCTGAGATACCACTTGGGGCCAGATTTTAATAGCTGACAATTCATAATGGATTGACAAAAGCAAAACATCATTAACTTGAATCTACAAAGTCGACATTTCCATATGCAAATAGGAGCTAGCACATATGTGCCTGTGTACAAGTCTCATTGCTTGTTTAGTTGTCTGTGTGTCCTTTCCTTTGTCTTTAAGATCCCAGTGGACAGGAACCATGTCTAATAGCCCGCTTTGCAAAACAACAGGTGCACAGATTGAGGCCTCACTAAATGCTTTCTATGATGATGATGATATGGTTGATTTTCTCTCTCATGTAAGGGTAAGGTCTATAGTCTAAAGTCAGCAACCAGGAGTAAAAAGATAGTCATGAATGATACATTTGAGCATGGAACATGAAAGTTACCATATATTTATGTAACAAGGATGGACTAAACTGACCCTATGGGTGTGATCACCAGAAAGAGCACTCACCCTATTTTCTATATTTTACTTTACGTTCATAATATTGATTCTTATAAAAGATGTTTCCTTCATTGCAAGCTAGATAACTCTTTTGTATTTATTCTGAGAACACTGGGGCTGTGAATTTTCCTTTTTAGTGTAAATCTGCTTGGTTCAGTAAAATTTCATACAAGAAATTATAGCAACAGACTGCCAGCCTGATTCTGGCTCATGGGAAAGTGATTTAACCTTTCTACTATTAAGTTCCAATTGAATAATTGTAACCTATCTTACAGACTTGTTGTGCAGATCGGATGAGATCAAACAAGATAATATAAAGTGCTATAAAAATTTAAGCTATTGTTATCCCTGAAAACATATCCTTTGGGCTGGGCTTAGGTGACTTTAGGAAATAGCCAATTATGCTGTTTCCTTTATGAAAATATAATCTTGGACTTACTGTTCAGCATGCCTGTGTGAACACACTACAAGGACCCACAGCCTCTTAAGATTCCTCACTCTACTTTCTTTCTCCATGTTCCCCAGGGATCTGTCCTTCTTGGCTTGTCTTTCCTTTTCTGCTGTGTATACAAATGTTGTGTGTTAAGATCAAGGAGTGGACACCTGGTTTGCTCTCAGAGTTCCATCACTCACTCTCATAAAGATTTTGCTTTGGGCACTGCAGCTGGCATTTTTTTCTTTCTCTTCCTTGCTGCCGAACAGTTAGTTACACAGGAAAGAATAATGAAGGCTTAAACTCTCCAATCCTGCTTCCTATCTACCTCGCATCCTCCTGTTACCAAAGGGGAAACACATGTTTTTCAAACTCAATTTTTGCTGATGAAAATTTTGTTCAGTTTCACAGCTTGACTTCAGAATTTTCCCAAGTGATGGTAAATTTCATTCCCTTGCCAAACAAGGAAATAACCTGCAAGCATGTTTGGAAGAAAAACTTAGCAATCCCCCTGAAGCTTTAGGATCAGATAAATAGAAGAAAGAAAACAAAATTGTTATGCAAGCCTTTCTGTCATTCAAAATACTGATATGTTTAAGCATTGGAAATTTGGGGAAAATATTTAACCTAGGTCAATAGAATATATTAAGTTACCTGTAAAACTTGAAGTATAGATATTTATAGTAATCGTAGCATTTGAACTCTGAAAAGACAAAGAAGTGAAGCTTACACATGGCTCAATGTTTAATGCATATTTGGTGAATCAATCATAGTTAGAGATGGTGCTCAATTAGATTTTCTTCCTGTTGTACATTATACTGTTTTGTTTAGAACATTCGTTTAAAAAATAACTTATCTTTCCTTATGAAAACTTAACTTCTCTATTTCCTTGATGGGTAACTAAACTACTATAATTCTAAGTTCTTTTTTATTTTCTTCGTTTACCACAGCCCAGATAAAAACCCTTTCTATAGGTCACTTTCATTAAAGGTGTGATAAAAATAAATGACTTGTAACAGGTAGAGAAAACGTGAACCAGGAGGGGTAGGCGGCAATCCTATTTTCCAGCAGTACTACGGAAAGCCTCCATGTTCTTATGGGTTTATTTTTGTGTTCAGTTCCCACGAAGTTATCCTGCTCCCCAACCCCATCTCCATCCTCCTCCCTGCGTGTTACAGGCTGACACTGAAATAGACAAGAGGCAGAAGAGACCGTCCCTCCCTGGGAAGGGTTTTGGAAGTTAGCTAGTTTATTTAATCCCCAGGCAAACCTGCAGTCAAGTTAATCAGAATGAGAGGAAACAGCTTCCTACATACGAGCTAGGACTGTGAGAAATTGTTTTTCTGGGTGTTTTATAGCCAAAAGCCTTCAAGGGTATGGAAGAGCTCTCCAACCAGAGGCACAGATATTCAAGGAGAGCTTGTTTGTTTTATGGTTATTTTTATCCCACAATAAACAGCTTAAATTTGCAGACTATACTTTTTGACTATAAAGTGGGTTATTTCTCAAGATGCTGGTGCTTTCCCCTAACAGATAGAATAAATAGAAGAAAATGCTGAGAGTACACCACTGAAATTCTGATTTATTCAATCATTAAGAAAAAGAAGTGCAATTTCAACGATAATAGAATGAAAACCCAACTGTTTCTGCTCTCCTTCTGAAAACTTGTTTTCTATGGAGAATGCTGCTCTTAGGAAAACACCTATTTAAACCTCAGCAATGTATAATCTTAACTTCAGGCAGCATGGTTGTATAGGTTTGGTAATTTGTAATACCTCTGCAACTAGGGATAAAATATTAACTTTCGATAATACAAGCAGTATCTGCAACATAAATACTAAAAATATTACATTCTCTCCCAGGAAAGATATTTTATAAAAAAGACTTTGCACTTGGTTTTAAATGCTTCTCTAGGCAGTTGCTTTGTAGGCTTGTTAGAGGAAACACAATGTATGTACAACCTTTGGAGACATGGCACTAAACAGACAACTAGTCGGTCCAGTATGTCGTTCTTAGGACACAAATAAGAAGGTGGGGAAAAAAGCATTTAAGTGCAACAGTAACCTCAGGGAGGACACTTCCATGTTGGAAACCACACTAAATGCTTCTTGGAAAAATTGCTTGAATATAATGAAACCAAATAAAATATTGCTGTAAGTCTGTAAGAAAAGCAAAAAAACTAAAATTAAAAAAAATCCGTGACATAGACATATGTATAAAAAAAACTATGATATACACATGGGAGCACGCACCCATGCATGTACACAGGGTATGTAAAAACATAAAACATTTATCTGTGTATTTTGCCTATCACACACAAAAAAGCGTAGGGTATAAAGGTTTCAACATATTTGTGCATAAACTTTTTAAAGATTTTGAAGTCCTTGAGCTGGAGTTTCACTCTGTCATTAACCAATGTTGTAACCTTGGCTTACTCATTTTTTAAATGAGTAAATTTAAATTTACTCATTATTTAAATCCTAAGATTATTTTTGCAGAATTTGGTAATTAGACTTCTAAATGCTCGATAAGGAAGTTCTTTCCAGTTCTAAAACACTGGAATTTTAAGGTTTTCCTTTTGTTTCTTTTGTTTTCCATTTTTTTTTCTTTTAGGTTTATTATTAATAAAAAGAAATCAACACAGAATTATGTTTGCAATATGCAATCACTTATATTTAGCTGAAGAGAGATGTTTACGGCAGAAACCCTTCAGTTTCTTCCTTTGTTATTGTTGGTTTACATCAGATGAAAAGCTCCCCAGTAGCAAGGTGGCAGTTACAATCTTATGGAGCCTAAAATGAAAATGAAATTAAGTCATTTTAGAAGACACCCCATTTAATAGATTCTCCTATTCACTTATTCCTCTCTCTCTTCTTTTATCTCTACCCTAGCTCAATTCTAAAAATCTTGAATATGAATGGAACTTGATGATAGTCTTCCCAGGAGTTTTAACAAAGCTATGTATAGAAATGGTCTGGTTGAAACATTTCTAAATCTGTATATTCTGAAAGTGGATGTGGCTTTTCCTGTCCTAATCATGTAAGCAGACTGCAACAACATTACTGCTCAAACCAACAAGGTCTTTTAAAATGTGCTGCCCGTTTCCTTTTTCAATCTGCCGAATCGCTGCAGTTATTTTTAAACCTCTTTAGTTCTCTATGCACACACAGTATCATGCCTATCGCTTAGTGCAGGTGTGTGTTTTGTTGTGGTTTGTTTACAATTGGCAGGGCTTGATTGTAAAAGTCCTGTATTATGAATAAACCAATGCCTGAAATGAAGTGGAACCTTGATTTATTTGGGTAGGACTGTTTTCCAGTACTGTAAATCATATTTTGGTGTTCATTTACCTTTGCATTCTTTTTGAGCCACCGGCACTGAGGCAGACGAATGGGAATGAAATGAAGTGTGCTAAGTGCTTCTGCTGGAGGGTTTCAGCTCCCCGCTTACTGGGGTGTGATTTATCTCTGCAATACATCATGCAACTTATTTTCCTTTGCTTATTTTATTTAGTGTTGTCACAAATAATATCAATTGGCCATTGCCTATGAACCCTAGTAAATTAATGAAATAAGCTGCATGTACAAAACTCATCTGTCCCCATTTTGATTAGAGCCTCTTTGGTTGCACCAAGCCATTTACTATAGATGAACTTCATTTATTAAACAAGCAGCTTCATGGGTTCTTGGTAAATTGTTATGCGTAGTATTTGCCATGATTTTAATGAAACACTTAAAGCTGACTCTTTTATATCTCAATCACTAAGAGTATTTTATGCCTGTGAAATAGGTATTTTGAGTCATCTTGTGACTTCCGGCTGACTAACTCCATCTGAAGTAGTTGTCTATTTATGGAAGGAGGTGTCCTTTATCTTTGTTTCTAGGGAAGACAGTAGGCGCCAGGAAAGGGCAAGAAGCCCTTATTTCCTGTAAGGGCTTCTTGTCACCTGCACTATGGTTGAAGTCCCCTAACAGCACAGAGCAGCTGGTCACTGCTCAGCCCAGGCATTCCGGTGCCTTCCTGCTATACTTGCATATCAAGAAGCATTTCAGACCACAAGAATGCAGGACTGCAAGGGGCCAATTTACCTTGAATTTGAAAAGGTAGATTTCACAAAGCCAATGGGTTTTTTAAAAACAATCAGAATCATTCAGATAGATGATGTTGGGGTTTCTTTTTGGCTTTAACAAACCTGGGGAGGCCAAACATATTCCAGAAAAGCACTGCAAGGTAGCTAAAAGCTGTGAATCCGAAGCAGTGAAAACATAAGTGGCTTAAGTGACTGATATGAAACAAGCTTCTGCTCACTGGGGAAACTGCCACAAGAACAGGAGAAGTGGTGCGGGACACAATATGGGGAACGTGGATCCAGAGGCTGCCGTGAGAGGTGCTGATCGTTTAACTTCTGTGAAGGGCAGAGGAACAAAGCTGAAGGACAGAAAAATCATGGTGGATGAGATAAGAACATTCCGGAGAAGTATCTATATGAGAGTAAAGCAGAATAAAAATTAGAAACATTTGGAAGAGCTTGTCTTTTTCCAGAGCTGAAATAAAGGTGGGTGGTGGTGATGTAACGCAGAATCATCCTACATGTCTTTGCTAAGAACATATGTCCTCCTCATGAATCCACTACAATCAATAGCCAATAAAAAAAGTGTGAGGCAATCGTAGAAATTCTTAGTGTTAAAGTTAAAAGCATATTCAATATTCCTGTTTTACTAAAGAATTTTATGCATGCCAGTACCTCAAACTCTCACGTTTTCAAAGAAATTTAGAGCCCTAAAATATGAGAGCTTACAAACTGGAAATGAGAAAATTTAGATATCTCAGTCCCACAGATTTTGTTAATGATGTTTCCTGAGAGTTACTTTATAATTTTTTCAGTATATAGTTACAGTTGAAATCTAATTCGCTGGTGCAAGTTCTTTATTTTAAATGAAAATTAAAGAGTTCATTGAAACAATCTAATTAGAAGGAGCATGGAAGGATGGAAGGAAGAAAGAAGGAAGGAGGGAGAGGAGGGACAGAGGGAAAAAAGGAAGGAAAGAAAAGGAAGGGAGGGAGGAAGGAAGGAAGAAAGAAAGGGAGGGAGGGAGGGAGAAGGTGTTCTCCTTCTGCGTCCGCAAGGGGGCATAGTTTAAAGGGCAAAAACTTCCTAGCGCCACGCCCCCCCTTCCCATCTCTCTCCATCTGGGAGATTTAAGGGTTTATGTTTGAATTTTGCAGGCACGGGAAGAAACTAAGAATCAGTCACTCCCGCGGAAGTTCTAAGGAACTCCTTTCATTGGCCTGGGGTCTTAGAGAACATGGAGGTTCCTCCCGGGTTAAAAGTCCCCTTCTTCCACATCCCTTCAGATTCCATGTTTGGGTCCCCTTCCACAAACACTCCCTTCGTGGAAGCTGTTTTTCTCTACCCTGGATTTTCCCTCTGGAGTCCCCTTCCACACTCTCTCGTGGAAGCCTGTCTTCCCCTCCTAAACTCCATCTCTCTCTCTGTGTTCCCTTCCACTCAGTGTGGAAGCTGCTTTCCTCTCCTGGATTCCATCTTTCTGAATTCACTCAGTGTGAGGATTAGCTGTTTCTTTCTCTCTCCTTCTCCTGTTTCTCTCTCTTTAAATAAATCACTTTCAACAAACACTTTTGAATCTGGCATTTACCGCACACTGTGCCATGGTCTCCTCTCTCATTCTTGAGAGGGCAGTA